CCGCCTCTTCTATATAGCTTTCATAATTTCTTTACAAGAGAGTTATGAAAGTGGAATTATTGAGTCAAAGTGTGTGAATATTTCTGAAGAGGAAATTGTCTTCCGGAAAGCCTCTATAACTTATTCTTCTCTGCTGGGCGTGGTGGCTCAGATTTGCAGTGAGCTCAGATTGCGCCACTGCACTCCAGCCTGGGAGACAGAGCGAGACTCCATCTCAAAAAAATAAAATAAATAAATAAATAAAAATTATTCTCCTTCCAGCAGATTATGTTTACACAATGAAAACCTACTACCATTACCATTTTTTTTTTTTTTTTTTGAGACAGAGTCTCGCTCTGTCACCAGGCTGGAGTGCAGTGTAATGATCTTGGCTCACAGCAACCTCCACCTCCCACGTTCAGGCAATTCTCCTACCTCAGCCTCCCGGGCAGCTGGGACTACAGGTGTGTGCCACCACGTCTGGCTAATTTTTGTATTTTTAGTGCAGAGGGGGTGTCACCATGTTGGCCAGAATGGTCTTGAACTCCTGACCTCAAGTGATCCACCCGCCTCAGCCTCCCAAAGTGCTGGGATTAAAGGCGTGAGTCATGGCACCCAGCCCATCATCATTTTTTCAGCTGTGTGTTAGCTACTATTCTTTCGCAACTTCATTTAATGCTCATAACTATTTAGTGCAGGAGTAGATAGTATAATTCTCATTTTATAGGTAATTTAACTGAGGCTGAGAGAGGGTAAGAAATCAGCCAAGGGCAGAACTGGAATTAATCTCAGGTCTTTCTCTCTCAAGTTCATGCTTTTTTGTTTTGTTTGATTTCGAACCTAAGATATGGAGGTCTGAGTTAAATGTACTCCTCAATTCATGGTATGTTTTCATCACTGGTTGTCTCTCTATTTCTTTTTCCGTGTTGTCTAGGCTGGGGCGCAAGATCATGGCTCACTGCAGCCTCGACTTCGGCTCAAGCGGTCTTCCCACCTCAGCCTTCAGAGTAGCTGGGACTGCAGGCAACTGCCACCATGCCCGGCTAATTTTTGTATTTTTTGTAGAGATGGGGTTTCATCATGTTGCCCAGGCTAGTGTTAAACTCCTGGGCTCAAGTCATCCACACAGAGCCTCGCTGCATTGCCCAGCTGTAGTACAGTGGCATGATCTTGGCTCACTGCAAGCTTCCACCTCTCGGGTTCAAGTGATTCTTTTGCTTCAGCCTCCAAAGTAGCTGATATTACAGGTACTCGCCACCACGCTTGGCTAATTTTTGTATTTTTGGTAGAGACAGGGTTTCACCATGTTGGCCAGGCTGGTCTCAAACTCCTGACCTCAGGTGCCCCTCCCACCTCTACCTCCCAAAATGCTGGGATTACAGGTGTGAGCCATCATGCTTGGCCTTCCATTAACTCTTCAATGTTTATTATTTGACTCTGATACTATAAATTGTGCATGTTTAATATGAATAAGGATACAATCACTTCTACACACAAACGCATACATTTACATCTAAGCCTGTATACTAAAAACTACGGGTGAAAGAAATGGGAGATGTAGGTCAATAAATACAAAGAAGCAGATATGTAGAATGAGAAAGTCTAGAGACCTAATGTCTCTAGCATGAGGACCAGTTAATAACATTGTATTGTACTTGGGTTTTTTGCTAAATACGTAGGTAGATTTCAGCCGCTCTTGTTATACAAGCCTTTATGTGAGAGTATGGATATGTTAATTTTCTTCACTATAGTAACCATTTTACTATCTATATATATACCACAACATCATGTTGTAAACCTCAAATATACACAATAAAATTTATTTTTATTTATTTTATTTACTTATTTTTGAGACAGAGTCTCACTCTGTCGCCCAGGCTAGAGTGCAGTGGCATGACCTTGGCTCACTGCAACATTTGCCTCCCGGGTTCAGGCAATCATCCTTCCTCAGCCTCCTGAGTAGCTGGGATTACAAGTACCCACCACCATGACATGCTAATTTTTGTAATTTAGTGGAGACAGGGTTTCACCATGTTGGCCAGGCTGGTCTTGAGCTCCTGACCTCAAATGATACTCCCACCTTGGCCTTACAAAGTGTTGGGATTACAGGCAGAAGCCACCACTGCACCCACCCGATATAATTATTTTTTTCAAAAAAACTATGAGTTCAGGCCGGACTCGGTGGCTCACGAGGCAGGTGGATCACCTGAGGTCAGGAGTTTGACACCAGCCTGGCCAACATGATGATCTCGGCTCACTGCAACCTTTGCCTCCCATCTCTACTAAAAATACAAAATTAGCTGGGCGTGGTGGTGCGTCCCTGTAATCCCAGCTACTTGGGAGGCTGAGGCAGGAGAATCACTTGAACCTGGGAGGCAGAGGTTGCAGTGAGCCAAGATCACGCCATTGCACTCCAGTCTGGGCAAAAAGAACAAAACTCCACTTTAAAAAAACAAAAAAAAAAACAAACAAAAAAACCCAAAACAACAAAAAAAAACTATGAGTTCACACTGATACTTCCAATTCCAACACAATAGCATGGGGCATTCTCCCCATAGTTTTAACTTCATTGTACCACAGTGAGAAAGCTGGCTCTGTCATGCTTAATGTGTTTAGTGACTTGATCAATCATCCCGTATGCAACTAATCTCCCAATCAAAGCTTCCAGGCCTTCCCCACTGGGATGCCTTGCTCTCCACTCTTGGGCTCTAGGGCTTAGACTTTGCGTAGGGCTGCCTCCCAGTTGTTCAAGCCCTCTTCATCTTCTCAGGTTCTTCAGCCTCCTTACCTACTAGGTCATTGACACCTGGCTGTGGACCGCCAGGTGTATATTCTTCCTTTGTTTTGTATACCTAATGTCTCTGGCACTGAATATTTTAGGATGGAAAAGGGGAAGAGGAATACTGAATGTGCACTTTTGAATGGATAATGTGCCTCTTATTTTTTAAGCTCTTTATTTATATCGTCTTTCTTTCTTTTTTTTTTTTTTTTGAGGCAGTTTCTGTCACCCAGGCTGGACTGCAGTGGCACAATCTTGGCTCGCTGCGAACTCCGCATTCCGGGTTCAAGCAATTCTCTTGCCTTAGCCTTCCGAGTCGCTGGGACTACAGGTGTGCATCACAACACTCAGCTAATTTTTGTATTTTCAGTACAAAATATACGCCCAGTCACACATCTTATTTCTTTAGTAATTCACAGAACTGGAATTTTTGGATAGAAGTTTTTTTTTTGGCCGTGCACAGTGGCTTATGCTTGCAAGCCCAGCACTTTGGGAGGCTGAGGTGGGCAGATCGCCTGAGGTCGGGAGTTCGAGACCAGCGTGACCAACATGGAGAAATGCTGTCTCTACTGAAAATACAAAAAATTAGCAAGGCGTGGTGGCGCATGCCTGTAATCCCAGCTACTTGGGAGGATGAGGCAGGAGAATCACTTTAACCTGTGAGGGGGAGGTTGCAGTGAGCTGAAATCGCACCATTGCACTCCAGCCTGGGCAACAATAGCAAAATTCAGTCTCAAAAAAAGGAAAAAAAAAGTTTTTCTTCTTGTTATTTTTTGAGACAAAGTCTCACTCAGTGCACAGGCTGGAGTATAGTGGCCTGATGTCAGCTCGCTGCAAACAAACTCTGCCTACCGGTGCGAGTGATTCTGTGCCTCAGCCTCCCGAGTAGCTGGGATTACTGGCACCGGCCACTACGCCCGTGTAATTTTTTTGTGTTTTTAGTAGAGATGGGGTTTCACCATCTTGGGCAGGCTGGTCTTGAACTCCTGACCTCGTGATCCATCCGCCTTGGCCTCTCAAAGTGCTGGGATTATAGGTGTGAACGACCGCGCCTGGCCTGGATGAAAGTTTTTAGAGTCTCGCTCTGAAGCTGGTGTGCAGTGAGTGGTGTGATCCTAAGTCACTGCAGACTCAAACTCCTGGGCTCAAGTGATCCTCCAGCCTCAGTCTCCTCAGTAGCTGAGACTACAGGTGCCCAGCCAGTAGAGACGGGGGTCTCCCTGCTCAGGCAGCACTGGGATTACAGACGTGAGCCACCGCTCCTGGACTGAAAAGAGTGTTTTTAAGGCTTTAAAAAAATATCGCCAACATAGTGAAACCCCGTCAAAAAAAAAAAAAAAATCAATCTGCTCTGAAAAACTGTTGCAACAATTTACAATCTCATCAGCACTGAGCATCCATTTCCCCGCACCCTTCTCAGTCGTATTATTATTTATTTATTTATTTATTTATTTTTTTTTTTGAGACGGAGTCTCACTCTCGTTACCCAGGCTGGAGTGCAATGGCGCGATCTCGGCTCACCGCAACCTCCGCCTCCTGGGTTCAGGCAATTCTCCTGCCTCAGCCTCCTGAGTCGCTGGGATTATAGGCATGTGCCACCATGCCCAGCTAATTTTTTTGTATTTTTAGTAGAGACGGGGTTTCACCATGTTGACCAGGATGGTCTCGATTTCTTGACCTCGTGATCCACCCGCCTCGGCCTCCCAAAGTGCTGGGATTACAGGCTTGAGCCACCGCGCCCGGCCTCAGTCGTATTATTAAACAAGTAAAATGCATAAGTGACTGCTGGGCTCAAGGAGTCTCTGGACAAGCTTCCTATTCCCCACGCTGCCTCTGCCCTGGACACAGGAAGGGGTCCTTTTCCTTATTTATTTTGTTATTTCATTTCCGTCAACAGGACTCGGCCTGCGGACGAAGGTCGGGGCAGGCCAGTTACCGCAGACGAGGAGGCCGCGAGGCACCTGGCCTGGAGGAGCTCACGCGGCGGGCGGCACAGACCTCTTTTCGGCGGGGTCTACCTGCGTGTCTCCGGGCGGCAGAGGGAGCCGTCGAGCCCGCCACGGACCCCGCCCCCAGGGCAGCGCGCCGCGCTCCCATGACGTATTTCCGCGTCATCTGCCGCCGAGGCTTGCTCCCATTGGTTGTTGGCGAGGCACTGGGGGCGGAGCCGAGCGGGTGTGTGGGAAGCGCCGCAGCCCGGGTGGGGGCGCGGCTTCCCCTTCCCCGCCCCTTCCCGACCTCCAGTCCCTCCCAGGGCCGCTGCGCTGAGCGGCTCGGAGCGCGGCGGCGGCACTTTCCGCGGCGGGAGCTGGCGCTGGGCTCTGGCGCGCGCGCGACGGGGCCGCCTGAGCCGGAGAGACCGGTTGGTTGAGGGAGGGAATCCCGGGCTGCCGAACCGCACTTTCAGTTCGCCCCACGCCGCGGGGCAGCCCTTCGGCTCGCGGCGCGCGGAGCCGAGTCCCGGGCGGGTGGGGCGGGGGTCCCCTGAGACCGCCACCGGCCGCCTCGGAGCTGACGGGACCGCGCGGGGCGCACCCGCCGAAGGCATCCCCGGGGCCCGCGGCCCGGACTTGGACCTGCGCAGCGGGCTCGGGGCAGCTCAGCGGGAGGAAGCGAGAGGCGCTGCCCTCCCCCCGGACTTGGAAGCGCCTTCGCCGGGTCCAAAATGCCCAAGAAGAAGCCGACGCCCATCCAGCTGAACCCGGCCCCCGACGGCTCCGCGGTTAACGGGACCAGCTCTGCGGAGTAAGTATGGAGCGGGCGGCGCGCGTCGGGGCCCGGCTGGGGAGGCCCGGGCCGGGGCTCAGGAGCGCGCCAGGCTCCGCTACGGTTTGTCACGTACGTCTGGGGCTGGCAGGGGGCGACGAACTCCCGGCCGCCGAGGTATCAGTGACTAAGCACTGATTGTGCTCCTGACTCAGACCAGTTCGCGGATCCCGCGGGTCTCGATTCCCCTCTTCACCCGTTTCCCGACCGTTTCAGTGGTCCCTGGCCACTGACCAATCTTTTCCCAAGAAAATAAAAGCTGGCACATCTCCCCTGCCTCTCCCCAGCTGTGTTCTAAATGCGATCCTCTGGGAGTCTGGCCTGTAACGGGGAGGGGAGGCTAATGTTTTGGAAAGAATTAAGATCGCATCTGTGCTTTGAGACCGGCTCAGGTTATGAAGTGTGGAGCATTAGCCTCACCTTCATGCCTGACACCTGTGGGGCCTGAGTGCCTTGTTGCAGGCCAGCTGCCTGGCCAGCGGGGGCGTGATGGAAGTCCGTGTGGACTTCGTGGCTTTTCCTTGCTGACTTTGGGAGTTCCCGGTCCTTGGCCTTCCTGAGAACTGTCTTGCTCAAGAAAGCATCGTTCCTTATCCGGTTATTCATTCATTTATTCAACAAACCATTTCCTCACTAATGATTAGCTTTCCCTACTTGACCAGGAGCTCCTAAACTCCTGACCTGAGACGTGAACACCATGACCTATAAACCACATACTAGGTGTTCCATCTCTGTAGCTTCCAGCGTTGCTCACAAACGAACACTTTATTTCATTAAATAATCATGAGGCTGTTTCCTGGGGGTTTCTGAGCTCCCACGACTCTTTTGGGTTCTAGGTAAGGGACAAGACTATGTGAGGGAAAGCTGCTTGGCTAGCTAGAGAAATAGCCAGAAAAGATTAGGTTATTATTATTTTTTGCCTTTTTTTTTTTTTTTTTGGTGGTGGTTTGTCCAACCTTCAGTAAAGATTAGGTTCTTAATCTTTTACCTGCATCCTGCAGACTTTAGGAAGCTAATTGATGAAATCAGAGTAGGCTTGGACTTTCTGCTCTTTGGTGATTTCTGTAACCTCCCTTTCTTTCTCTAGATTTCTTTAAAATTTAATTTTTAAAATTTTATAGAGATGGGGTCTTGGTATATTGCTTAGGCTGGTCTTGAACTCTTGGGCTCTAGTGATCCTCCCAAAGTGCTGGGATTACAGGCGTGAGCCAGTGTACCCAGCCAACTTTCCCTAGATTTTAATAACCTGGGGACCTGTTGGCTTGGTGACTTGTTCCATGCCTGTAGTGATCACACAGTCAGTGGTGGACCTGTGGTGTTGTGTTCAGCTAAGGTCTTCAGACCTACTCCCAGCAGACTCTCCTCTTTAGGCCCCTCTCAGTCGTGTGGTATCTGTTTTGCATGATACTGACTTGTATAGGTGGTTGGGTTTCATTGCAAACTTTTTTTTTTTTTTTGAGACAGAGTTTCACTCTTGTTGCCCAGGCTGGAGTGCAATGGCTTGATCTCGGCTCACCGCAACCTCCGCCTCCTGGGTTCAAGTGATTGTCCTGCCTCAGCCTCCTGAGTCACTGGGATTACAGGCATGCGCCACCACACCTAGCTAATTTTGTATTTTTAGTAGAGGGGGGGCTTCTCCATGTTTGTCAGGGCGGTCTTGAACTGCTAACCTCAGGTGATCTGCCTGCTTCGGCCTTCCAAAGTGCTGGGATTACAGGCATGAGCCATCACGCCCAGCTGCAGTGCAAACATTTGTTCAGTTTTAGTGTACAGTGTTTCACCTTCTTTTTTTTTTTTTTTTTTTTTTTTTTTTTTTTTTTTTTTTTTTTTTTTTTTTTTTTTTTATTTCCTGTAAACATGCAGTTAGTTTGACTAGAATCAAACTAAATTGAAATAGAGTTCCAAATCCA